GGAGTTGGCAAACTTTTTCTGTAGAGGGTTATAGGGCAAATCTTTTAGATTCTCGGGCTTCATAAAAACTCAGCAGCTATAGGGTGAAGGCAGCTATAGACAATAAGCCAACACATGAGTGGGACTGAGTGCCAATAAACCTTTATGGACACGGCCAAGTAACTGCTATTGGCTCTCTAAGACTTGGGGCTCTTCTTTCATCTAATCCCTGCCCATTGCCCCTGAGTTGATGCCAACTCACGAGTGACCTGATGGGACCGAGGAGAAGGGTTTCCACAGGGTTTCCTAGGACTATGCATTTTTACAGAAGCAGACTGACGCTTCGTTCTCCCATGAAGTGGCTGGTGTGTTTGAACTCCAGGCCTTTCAATTAGGAACCGATTCTTTAACCACTGTGCCACCAGGGTTCCTTTCCAACCCCCACTACGTGAGACAATTGAATGCTGACCTCAGATAGTCTGGCTTTCACAGACTGGCCGAGTCTCAAGGGGAATGGAGAAGAGGATGCTGGAACAGGCTCTGTCCTAGGACTCTTGGGACAATTGTCTTCTCTGTGCTGGGTCGAGGAGATGTCTCCTGCTGGTGTGTGTGTGTGAGGGGATAGTGGTGATGAAAAAGAATACCGTTAAAATGCCCCTGGGAAAGGAGAGGGAGATGGCCCTTGGTGTAAATAATGAAGCCGCTCCAGAGCATAGGATACTGGGTGCTCGGGTTTGCTCACTGTATTAGTTATCGATCGCTGTGTAACAAACAACCCTAATACTTTGCAGTTTAAATACAGCCATTGATTACATCGTGTGGTTTCTGAGGGTTAGGACAGACTCTGGGAGTCACTGGGTGGCTCTGGCTCACGCAAGGCTTCTCACGTGCTCGTAATCAAGGCCTCTGAAGGTTACCTGGCTGGAGGCTCTGCTAATAAGCTCGCTCAGAAGGCTGTTGGCAGGAGGCCTCAGTCCTTTGCCAGGTGGGCCTTTCCATAGGGACACTCATGGCCTGGAAGCTTCCTTTGCCCAGAGCAAGTATGTGAGAGAGAACGCAACCAGGACTGGAACTGCAGTGCTCCTACAGGACCTCATCTCGGAAGTCACACACTGTCCTATTCCACTCCACTCCAGTTCATTGCAAGTCAATAAGCCCAGCCCCACCCTCGAGGGAGGGGAGTTAGACGCTGCCTCTTGGAAGGAAGCATAGTCAAGAATTCGTGGACCTGTTTATAACGTCAGCACACTCCACCCCAACCCTGCCCCGACTTGTGACATTCAAGTCAGCTCGCCAGGCCTAACCTCTGCTCTCCCTGGTCCCTAGTTCTCAACATCAGCACTTCGGTTCAGTTGGCAGCCTCCATGCCTTCAGGATTCCAGCCGGTCCAGACTCCAGACCCCTTGGCTCCGGTCGCCTACTTCCCATACTTCAACAGGTCCTACCTGGGCGTGGCAGCATCCCTCAATGGGGGCAACGTGTTGGCCACGTTCGTCCACATGCTGGTTCAGTGGATGGCAGAGCTAGGTAAGGTGGTGCTCACACAGTGAGCGGCTCTTTGCTTGTCCCATCTCTGCCCCTGCCAGGTTCCGGTGGGCTCCTTCCCAAAAGATCTGGCCACACAGCCTCTTTCCCTCCCACCATCGGAAGCAGCCACCAGCAGACAGATATCTCTTTTGTCTCATGGCCTTGGCTGTGGACCATCACAGCCATTTCCCCAGATGTCCCCTGCCTGAGTCTTACTTTCTCTGTCTCTGAACCTGGAAGCAGCAAGTTGATCTACCCCTGCCACCTGGGAAGTCTATGCTGACTCAAGTCTCAGTGAAGGTGTGTGTGTGTGTGTGTGTGTGTGTGTGTGTGTGTTCACATTGGTCTACTCTGCTCTTGACAGGCCTGGGGATTGAAGAATCCACTGTGTATTCCCATATGATCCAGGCAGCGGCTCAGCAGGAAGACACCTGCCTAACTATCACCCCAACTGTGCTGGGAGAGAGGCATCTGCCGGATCAGCTGGCCTCAGTGACCAGAATCTCCTCCTCCGACCTCTCCCTGGGCCACGTG